ATTTCTTTGATACAGAGAACTCAATGAGAAAATTCCCTCTACCAACCTTACAACTGACAGCCTAAGCTTGGGGGCACTGACCCATTGAATCTCACAGCCAGTATGAACTCAGAGTTTCCTGACTGAGGATGGCTCTTTTATCCACTACACCAGTAGTGTTAAACTCATCTAGAAACCTGGGCCACCAAACTATATCTAAGATTCCCTGCCACTGCACATTGACTTAGAAAACCACATGTAAACATTATCTATGTTCTACTGTGTTTTGTTAAATGTTGCCCCATTACATTTTAATCTGATTCTGGTCACACTTGGGAATGTTGCTGACCCGAGGCCTCCCATGTTTGATATCTATATGCTATAACTCAGAGCTTAATATATGCTATCTCATTCGAGTTTCCCCATCCTTCCAGCTCCTCCTCCAAAGGGGGACTAAGAAGATTGCTATCCCCATTAACCATTTGAACCCAGGGATCCCTGAGTCCAAGACCAGGATCCTATCCACTTTGACTTGCCCAAGGTCACAAATGTAGTAGGTGGTAGAGGTATGGTTTAAACTGGGGTCCTTTGACTCCAGATCCAGCATGCTTTACACCATATTAATAATAATGGCTAACATTTATAATCTGGCCTCAGACAATTAACTTGCTGTATGACCCTAGGTTAAGTCACTTCACCCCGTTTGCCTCAGTTTCCTCGTCTAAAAAATAAGCTAGAGAAGAAAATGCCAAACCACTTCAGAATCTTTGTCAAGAAAACCTTAAATGGGGTCATGAAGTCAGACATGACTGAAACAACTGAACAACAAGATATAGCTTTTACTATGTGTCAGCCACTGTGCATTACGTCATTTAATTCTCACAATAATTCTGGGAGGTAGGTACAATTGTTATCCCCATTTTACAGATGAGGAAACTGAGGCAAACAGTGGTAAAATGACTTGCCCAGGGTCACACAGTAACTATCTGAGGCTGAATTTGAACTCAGATCCTCCTGATGTCACACCCAAGGCTCTATCCACTGGTTTTTGAAGTTTGTATGTTTTAAGTAACTGCCTTTTACAGTTTTTCTCATCAGTAAAAATTTGCTGGTTCCAATTGGTAGATGCATGATTAATAAATAGTAGCCTAATGGAGAATGTCTGGCACTGGGAACTGAAGCTGGGTGCTGGTTTTTACCTCTGTTTTACATGATTTCTGTAGTTAAATTACCCGTCACTTTAACTTCTAAGTACTTCAGCTTTTCCCATCTGTAAGATCTGGGTGCAGTGAGAGGCAGACAAACCTGATGGAGAACTGGGCATAGCTAGCACACCAGTGCCATAAAAAGATACTGTCTCTAGTTGGCAATTTACATGAAGCAATCTGTCAATCACTAAAGCCTTGCACCTCTCAATCAGGTGTTTCCCTGTCCTTCCTCTGTGTGGATCTGCTACTGGCTCCACACCTATTTTAATTTACATCAGATTTCAGTTCACTCTCCACCTGACTCTCTGGATTGGCAGCCTCTGTTTCCTTTGGCTTTGGCAGGCGTTTTCTTCACTCTCTTGGATCTCCACCTAAACCATTCCCTTACCCTCCAAAATAGGTTTTACTTTTTCTAGTTCACCTCAACCCTTTGCTCTCTTGCTTCTGGGATGTAGACTGGGCACCACTAATTCCTGCCTGTTCTAATCCACAAGGGAGTTAAGGATAAAGTTAGATTAGATTTAAAATGTGAAAGCATATTGGAAGGGATTGGGGTAGGGAAAGGAAACATTTATCTAAAGCAAAGAATACTTCTAATTACTTCAAAGTAATTGCTATGTCTGAGGTAACAACTAGTCTCCAAGGGACTGCCCAGCCAAATTCTGACTTTAACTTTCCACCAATCTTCTGTCTCAATGGTCAAAGAGCTCAGGTTTGGCATAATATTCAGCAAATTATTTGCCTTGCAATATCCAAGAACCCTTTACTCTCAATATCATGAAACAGGAGAGAGGCAGGGACCAAATCCCCTCCTTCTCTGAATCCCTGCCACTCAGCACATGTGTCTGAACACACTGGGCATTCCACCAATATTTGTTCAGAGATGGCCAGTGACTGCTATCCATTCTTCCTACTATAGTCAATTTTTAGACCCAAAAGAACTCTAGAAAGTCATGTTGTCTGAAGTGGTTTCCATCTTGCGTAGTTTGTAAACCCCTGAGAAGGTGGGAACAGGGAGAACCCAAGTTATTTCGAGGGGTCCACGAATTCAGAAAGTATGTCCAGCATTAAAATTTTGACTTTTATATAGCTATAAGAAAATATGCAGCTTGCCTTCTTGTAGCCTGAATAAACAACATATGTCTTGTAGAGAAATATATTAACGTTTTTCAAATATATGGAGGCTTTCCTGTGATTAGTAAAAAACACAAATTTATTTATTAAATTTAGTCGGTTTTTTTTTTTTTAATCATCTCAGACTTTCCCAACTGGGAGATGGCAATAGTATTACTATTATCACATACAAGTCTGAGAAATTTTTTGAAGTTCTATACTTTCGAGTGTTCAAGGTATTAATTTTTCCCCCATTTATCTTATTCAGCTTCCCTTTTTTATTCTGACCCAACTGGGGGGACTTGATCTTGTCCAGTTGTTTACATCAGAATCTGAGTTTCTTTTCTTCAGTAGTGCTAAGAAAACTAGCATCTTGAGGGCAGGTAGGTGGTGCAGTGGATAGAGCACCGGTCCTCTAGTTAGGAGGACCCAAAGTGAAATCCAGCCTCAGACCAGACACATGGCACTTACTAGCTGTGTGACCCTGAGCAAGTCATTTAACCCCAATTACCTAAAAATTAAAAAAAAAGAAAGAAAGAAAACTGGCATCTTGAATTTCTTCATATTGCTTGGCTCACACTTTCAATAAAAATTATACTGACTGAGAATTTTCAACAGTGAGTATTTGAATAACAGATATAAATTCTTCTCTCTCTAGTTCTCTGAAGAAAGAGTTGGGCAAAGTAGAGAAAGAATCACCAGTGGGTAGGCTTTTTGACTTATGGATATCCTTATTCTCCCAGCACCAAATAATGTATAATGTAGCTGATAATGTAGCTCTTGAAATGAAAAGTACAAAAGCTTGGTAGAACATGGTGGGATAAAAACTGTTAGGAGAGGCAGGAAGATAAAAAAAATAGAGGTGAATGATTTTGTGTGTAAGAAAATGTAAGAAAAGAAATGGGACCGATTTCCCCTGGAGAGAAAGTTTAGACAATTCTAACACTTAGAACTTCAAATATAAGTAGAAAAGGGAGCAAAAGCATAAAAACTAAATCTTACAAGAAGAGGAGTGATCCATGAAAGACTATCGGTCTAGTAGAGAAAGCTAAGTTCCAGTAAACATTGTGGCTTTAGGAAATGGCAGAAACTACCATTTTGCAAACTGTATAAAATTAACATAATAAAGGATTAGCCTTATTAAGCCACAAGTACACAGGATAAAAGTATGTAGGCAAAGGATCTATCAACATTATAGTTTTGAAGACATCGAGGTTGGCTATTAGCTAGAGAGTGGGGCCTGCTGTTAGGAAGAGCTGAGTTCAAATCTAACCTCAGACACTTACTAGGTGCATGACCCTGGGCAAGTCACTTTACCTCAGCTTCCTCAATTGTCAAATTAAGATAATAACACCTACCTTGCAGGATTGATGTGAGGACCAAATGAGATCATATTTGTAAGAAGTCTGGTACATAGTAGGTGTTACAAAATTGCTTTATTACCTTTCCTTCTGTAGTTTTCTCCCCTAACATCTCTTCCAAAGGAAGAAAAAGGCATTCCATCCAAGCAAATGACTTCACAGGCTTCTTTTTGTTATGAGGACTTGGTGCAAAGTGGAGGCATCAAAGACCACAAGCTTTAGTTACACCCCAGATGTTTTCCTAACTGCCGAAGTCAAAACCTTCCACAACCTGGTCTCACCTCTACTCCCCAAGAATCCAAGCTTATTTCAAATGCCTCTCCTTCACATACTCTTCATTACAGTAAAAGTGGCCTGTTTGCTGGTCCCGTACATGACATTGCATCTATAGGCTCCGTACCATATACTCTCCCCTATGCCTGGAATGTGCTTCCCTCCTCATTTCTGTCTATTTCTAGAATTCCTGGCTTCTTTCAAACCACAGTTCAGGTGTCACTCCCCTTTCAAGGTGCTTTTTCCTGGTTCCTCCCCCCACCCCGGGTGTTAATTATTTCTATTTCTTCAGGTTACTTTGTATTTACTTATCAGCATACAAGTCCCCCAGCAGAATATAAGTCGCTTTAGGTTAGGGACTTTTATTTTTTGTTTGTGTCACAGGCCCTACACGTAGTAGGTGTTTAATAAATGTTTGTTGAACTGAATTGAACTGAGAAGCACGGATGGTTCTAATACTGGTCTGAGAGTCAAAAAATCTGGCTCTTAGTCCTGGGACTTACTAAGTTGTGTTACCATGACAAATTCATTCTGAGCCTCAGTTTCTTCATTTGTAGAATTGAGCTCCTCCTGTCATATGGGGCCGTGGTAAAGATTAAATGAGGCAACCTACAGAAGTAAAGCGAATTTTCAAATAACCTTGGGCAGATCCAGGCCTTTCACTTCAGGGCCCTACACACCCCCTACCCCCCCCCCCCGCCCCAAGGACTCACCAGAGCGAACCTTAGCCTCTAAGTTATTCCACTTCGTTCAACAACTCTCCCAAGCAAGGCTTCGGAATGCCCGTTCCCCCCCAGCAAAATCTATCCCCTCACCCTTACCCCACCCCAGAGGCGGGACCCGAGCTAAGACCCTGGGAAATCATTCCTACACCCAATTTACCGTCGCCCCCCACTCCCGTCGTCTGCCCCGAGACAGCTGCCCCGCGGACCCCAGGAATCCAAGCTCTCAGGTCTCCACACTCCACAAATGTTGGCACCGCCCTCCCTGCACCCCTCCCCGCCAAGCCCAGGCCACTGAGGTGTTGCCCTGGGGTTCTCGTTGCTCCTTTCTGGATCTTTCTTGCCTTTTCGTGGGAGAACTCCTCGCCCCTCTCTCCCGGTCTGCGAAGAGACTCTCCACGTCTTCTCCCCTAAGTGGAGGGAATGTAAAACTTCCTGTCGTGCCCGCCGGGAGGGCAGCTGCTAGTCCCGATCCCGAACAGGCTCTGCCGGGCCCCGGCCCCGTTAGAGGAGAGGAAGCACGAAAGGAGACGCAGCAGCGGGGGTCCCCAGCCCAGGCCTGTCCTTGGGCAAAGAGGCCGCCCCACAACCTCGTCTGGGCTTGGCAGGCGAGAGGAAGTGGTCCCTAACACACAGCGCTTTCGGTTTCAGAGTGGAAGGGATGGAGCTAGAGAGACCTCCACCTCCCTTCACCCCCTCCCCAAACTCCCCGCTAGCCCCCGGGGCAATTCCCGGGGTGAGCCCTACCTCGGTCCAAGAACTGCCTCCGGGACTCACGTTAACTTCGGTGCCCTGTTGGAGTCCAGGACGTTATTGGGCACCCAAGCTAGAGCCCCGGCATGCAGTTACTTCTGGGATGCAGCCCTGGCCGCCCGAGGGACACCAGAGAGAGCAAAGTGAATCAATGGGAGGTAACTTAGTCCCAAAAAGCACGCCTGAGGGGTGGGGGTGGGGGCGGGGGCGGACAAAGAGGAGTAGGCGGAGGGACTAGACTGAGAGGAGAGGGGTGGGGTAGAGCAGCAGCCAGCTGAGGTTACGGAGGCAAACGCTTTCACCTCCTCCTCTCTCACCCCCTCCTCTCTCACCCCCTCCTCTCTCACCCCTTCCTCTCTCACCCCCTCCGAGGAGCTGGTGGTGAGGACAGGAGAAGCCGGAGAAAACACATGCTGGCCTGAGGACATACAGTTCAGAGGCTGCTTAAGGAGTTGAAAAAATATCTCCCACTAGAGCCATGTGTACCTTCCCCCGAAAATTAGAATATTTAAAAATTCCCAGTCAAGCAACAAGAATATCAGGCTCCATAATAGGATATATCCCTTTGCACTCCAAGTAAATTTCGGCTATACTGATTTACTTGTCTCTTCCTTCGTCCCTTTCTGGTCCCAGGTCCTACCTTTTCCCGCCTCAGGATATTTGCTAATCCCTTTACCTATTCTACCTTCAAGACCCAGTTCAGTTACCACATCTCCCTTGAAGGCTTACCTGGTTCTACCCACTAGAACTTATTCCTGCTTCCTCTCTCCACTGTTTTACATCTACTAGATACTGAACATTCATTCAATTTATGCCGAATATTTTGATGTTATTGTTGAGTCGTTTCGGTCATGCCGACTCTTCATGACCCCATTTGGGATTTTCTTGGCAAAGATACTGGAGTGGTTTGCCATTTTCTTCTCCGGCTCATTTTACAGATGAGGAACAGAGGTAAACAGGGTTAAGTGACTTGCCCAGGGTCACAGAGCTAGTAAGTATCTGAGGCTGGATTTGATATAGTATTTTAATTGTGTATATATCACCTCCCTCTAATAGAATCTAACAGCCCGATTAAGGTAGGAGGAATTACATAGTTATCATCTCTCCATCTCTAGTACTTCCCAGAGGGTCATTCTTATAGAGCCTTCAAATGAGATATTTGTAAAGGTCTTAGCAAAGTGCCTGGCACATAGTAGGTGCTACCCAAATGCCTATTTCCATCTCTTTCCCCTTTCCTCTATTGATTATCTCCAATTTATATTTGTGTAGCCTGTTTATACATAGTTATTTGGATGCTGTGTCTCCTAATAGGCTACGAATTCCCTGAGGACAGAGATTGCCTTTCGTGTTTCTTCGTAGTTTTCACGTTCTCTTCCTCCTCAGATTATGAGCTCTTTGAGAGCAGAGGCTGTTTTGCATTCCTTTGGATCCCCAGTACATAACACAGTACCTGGCACATAGGATGCACTTAATAAATATTTGATGACTTTGAGTTGAGTAGGTTTTAATTTTACATATCTTTCATTTCACTGTAGGCACACACTATACTTTATCAAGGCTGGAGTCTGGTTTAAACTAATCAATGATCTGATTATAGATTTGGCTTAAAAAAGTAACCAATGCTTAGATTACAGATTATAATCCTCCTCATCCTGTGTGGTTCTTATTCATGTCTTTCCATAAGTCCTCCTTGAGGAGTCACTCAATATGGTGGAGAGCTTCCTCTGCTTCCTTCAGGAATGCTGGTACCAATAATTCATTGTACATTTTTCTATTGCCTTAGATTTGCACACAGACTTTACCAAGACAACTTTGGGAGGAAGGTAATATAAATAGTGCCAGCTCTATTTTACAGAGCAGGAAACTGAGTCTCTGAGATATTAAGTGACTTACTCTTGAAGATATAGTTAGTAAATGTTTGAGGGGGTATTTGAACCCAAGTCAGCCTGACTCAAAGCTCAATGCTTTTTTAAAATTAATTTTTTTTAATTAATAAAAATATATTTTCTCTCCCAACTTCTTTTCCTCCTCCCCCTCAATATTTTTTTCACTATACTATGTACTAACATAGGACTCATGACAAGTCTACCTCCTTTTCTAGTTGTTTTTGTTCTTGAGATTTTGGGGTTTTTTTTCCTGCCATTACTCTCATGTAGGTTATCATTGGTTATATATTCCAGCCTGCTTATACCCACCTTGAATCTTTCCATTTCCCTTTTTGGCTACTTTGTAATTTTGATTCTTTGTGATGTTCCATGATTTGAAGTCATCCTAATAATAATGTGAGAACTTCAAAAGATTCATAATTTCATCAATACATTACAACTTTTCTACATCTTTATAGATGTTTTTATGAGTTCTGATTAAAAAAAAAGTAAAGTTAAAAAAAAAAAGGCCTGATAGTTAGCCTTCTGGTAATAAACTTCCTAATCTTAGCTAGACTGGTCCTTAAATAGTGTCCCACAGGGTTTTGATCCTGGACCCTTTTCTCTTCTCCCTCTGTTTTACTTCTCTTGGTGATTTCATCAAGTCCCATGGGGATTCAACTGTCATTTCTATGCTGATGATTCTCAGATCTATTTACTAACCCTAACTTCTCTGCTGATCTTCTCTGCAGACATTTAAAACCCAATATGTCCAAAATGGAACTCATTATCTCCCCCCAACACTGTCCTCTTCCTAACTTCCATTTTACTGTTGAGGGTACCACCATTCTCCCAATTACTCAGACTCATGACCTGAGTGTCCTCCTTGATTGATCATTCTGTTGCCAAGGCTGGTCACCCTTGCCTTTGTAATGTCTTCCACATTTGCCTTCTTCTCTCCTCTGATGCCATCATCCTGGTTCAGGCCCTCATTACCTCACACCTTGACTACTAAAATAACCTGCTAGTTGGTCTCCCTGCTTCAAGTCTCTCTTCATGCCAGTCCATTTTCTACTCAGCTATCAAAATGATTTTTCTGAATTCTAACCATGTCACTTCCTTACTCAATAAACTTTACTGACTCCCTATCACCCTCAGGATCAAATACAACTCTTCTGTGTGGTGTCCCAAGCCCTTTATAACCTTCCCCAATCCTGTCTTTCCAGTCTTCTTATCTCTTATGCCCTTTCCTCTCATAAATCCCATCCTTACTGCTTGTGTGACCTTGGGCAACTCACTTTGTGTCTCTGGTTCCTTATCTATAAAATGAGAGAGTTGAACTAGATGGCCCTTGAGATCCCTTTCTGTTTTTGCAATGTGATGCTTTGTGATCTGTGATCTACACAGCAAGAGCCAGAACTAGGATGGGGCAGCCTGGAGAGAGGGAACCAGTAAGCTCATCAAACCTGGGTGGGAAATTTGCCTTCCCGGGAGAAATTTAATGGGTGATAAAAGCACTTGTCATTTAGGGGAGATCCCTGGTGGCAGTGCAAAGCTCAGACAAGATGGAAGAAAATATAAAAGTCAAAGAGAGTAACTTGGCTGGGTCTAAGACTTGGACTCTATCTCTGCCTCTTGGATTTGGGGGAGAAAGGTAAAGGACCTTGGTCAGCAAGACTTGAATCCTTGCCTTGCATAGGGAATAGCATGCAAGTAAGGGTTCAATCTAGGCTCCCAAGAGCCAGAATGATAGATTGACAGATAGATAGATAGATAGATACATACATACATACATACATACATACATAACACACAAAAAATTTATTGGGCACATATTATGTCTCAGTCATTGTACTAAGTACTGGTAACACAAATTCAAGCTAAAAGAAAGACAGTCTCAGTCTTCAAAGAGCTTCGATTCTAATTGGGGAAAATAAGACCCAAAAGGGAGTTTAAAAGTAGGGGATCAGTATAAGGTGGAGAGGGGAAGTTTCCTGTGTAGGGCAAGGTGAAATAGTCCTGGGAGTCATGGGCTGAGTCAAGTTGGAAGTAAAAAGCAGTTTGGCAGAGACCAGATGTAGACCTACTTCTATATACTATATACCACTATGTACCAAGATAAACTTCAAATTGATACATGACTTAGACATAATGAATGGCATAATAAACAAATGAGAGCAAGGGAAAAAAAAAACCTTTCTGATCTATGGATAGGGGAAGAGACTATGATCAAATAAAGGATAGAGAAGATCATAAAAGAAAAAAATGGGCAATTTTGATTACGTAAAATGAAAAAGATTTTTTACAAACAAAAATAAATGAAGCTAAAATTAGAAGAGAAGCAGGTAACTAAGAAAAAATCTTTGCAACAAGATTCTCTGATAAAGGTCCCCTTTCTAAGATAGATAGGAAATTGATTCAAATTTGTAGGAATGAGTCATTTCCCAATCAATAAACTGTCAAAGATATAAACAGGCAGTTTTCAGAGAGAGAAATCCAATATATTAGTAGCCATATGAAAAAATACTCCAAATCTCTGATAATTAGAGAAATACAAATGTCAAAAGTAGAGGGTAGAATGCAAAAGCTTGGTAAGAAGATAGCCCAGTGATGTATTTTGAGAGAAGGGCAATGTTGGAGGGAACTTAAAACCATGCCATGTGAAGCTTGATTAGAAGAGACAGGAAGATATTTAGCCTGGACAAGAGACTTTGAGAGGACATGACAATTGATTTCAGCACTTGTTTTTAGCTCCAGAGAGCAATGGGTAGAGGATACAAAGATACAGGTTTCAACTTTATCTTATAGATAAAACTTCCTAACAATTAAATTGGTCCCAAAATACAATGAGCTATGGTGGAGAGACAGAGTGGAGGGACCTTTTGGTACCTTCCAACCCTGAGGTTCCATAAGCCAGTGATCTTATGAGGTTAAGTGACTTGTCTAAGGTCACACAGCTGG